GTATGTACTGTGGGAACTGGAGCGTGGCGACAGTGGGGATCGTGAACTACGTTTGCACCTACCTCCTCCTCATTGCTGGTGTGGTGGCGGTTGTCTTCGGCACAGGGGCTTCTGTGTACGGCGTGGTTGTGTAGTGTGTCGCCGCGGTGCGAGCCCAAATAAGCAGGTGGTCGCCTTTGCTGCAGCCCCCTGCCTGTTTGAGGTGTGAGGTGCCCGCTTACGGCGACGCGAAGCCCTGGGCGCCCAAACCCGCCCTTCTCTGCGGAAAAGCAGTCTAGCACTCTCTGTTTAAATTAGGACCAATAGCATTGTTTTTTCTTCTTCTGTTATTCCGTGCCACTCGTTGCAGGTGAATACCCGTTTTTTTTTCTTTTTTTTGGCGGGGGGCGAGTGTCGCAGAAATGTGGCACTCCTCCCTGCGTGGTGCGGCGCGTGTGTTATTTCCATGCCAGGGTCCCCACCCCCGTTTTCCACGGCGCACTAGAAACCGCCTTCGTTGTGCTCTTCTGCCCCCCGCAATACCCCGCGCTTTCGCACGGGGGCAGGGGACAGGGGAGACAAAGGGGAAGTATGTCCTCCTGTAGGAAGGGGAGGCGAACGCCACAAGGGATGCATGGATGTGTGGTGCACCACCTTCTTTTTATTTACTTTGTTTTTTTTTCTTTTTTCCTTGCCCCGTTCGGTGCAAAGCGTGAGTTGTTTTCAAATTATTTTTGGTGGCCGAGATTATTATTTTTCGTTGGGCATAGACGAGGTACGTTTGTACCTCCATTACTGGGCGTGCCACCTACCGGACCTTTTTTTTGCGTACACTCACTTCCTGCGATGTACTGCTGTTCCACAATTGGCGGCCTTGCGGTGTGATGGCATGGGTTCGGCTTGGCAGGACCTCGTCGCTCGCAAGGGCCAGAGGCATAGTCGCAGGGCTGCGTATTCGTTTGGTGCACAAAGAAACCGCCATCAAAGTGTTTTTATTTAATGATAACATCTTCCCACACAAAAATGCCAAATGTATTAAAGAAGGAAAACGAATCTGGGGCTTCTGTGTACGGCGTGGTTGTGTAGTGTGTCGCCGCGGTGCGAGCCCAAATGAGCAGGTGGTCGCCTTTGCTGCAGCCCCCTGCCTGTTTGAGGTGTGAGGTGCCCGCTTACGGCGACGCGAAGCCCTGGGCGCCCAAACCCGCCCTTCTCTGCGGAAAAGCAGTCTAGCACTCTCTGTTTAAATTAGGACCAATAGCATTGTTTTTTCTTCTTCTGTTATTCCGTGCCACTCGTTGCAGGTGAATACCCGTTTTTTTCTTTCTTTTGGCGG